TGAATCACAGGTAAAGGAGGCAGCAGCAATATAGTTTAACAACTGAAAAACTAGCAAGGGTCTCCTCAAACAAAATATCCTACTGTTATCCTTCTCCCAAAATGCCATCATACTACTCATTCTCTAAGGGAATGGTGAATGATCTGGGAGGACTACATATTAGCCAACATTTGAGAAACAATCTTTTTACCAAGTGAACCACAGCACATACCACTTTTGTACTATGCAAAAAGGAGTGACATGTGGCTATTTGGATAAGCTTAGGAGCTCTGGTAGCATAGTGGCTAAGACACTTGCCTGCTAACCAGACAGCTGGCGGTTCAAACCCACCAGCCACTCCTTGGAAGGAAGGTTGGGCAATCCTACTTCCGTAGTGATACTGCCTCGCAAACCCAAGGAGGGGTTGCTATGAGTCGGGACCGACTCGACGGCACATAACAACAACAACAACAACAGAGTTATTTATGTTCAAACTCTGGTGAAACAGAGAAATGGAGGGTACTGGGACCCCAGGAAGATGGAATGGAGCACTACGAGAGCAGAGAGGGCCTTTGATGGGGGGATGAGGGCAGCCTCATCTAGTTCACAACTATATCTGTGTCACGTTACAGCTCAGCCTCCTCTCGGCTTCTTCATCTGACGAATTCTCCTCTGCCAGCATGGAGTTTTGCTTATTAGCTGTTGAATCTTGTTTCTAAATCTTATTGGCCATCAATTCAAAGTGAAAATAAAGGCCTAGTGGCTGATGCTGTTGTGTTAGTGGTGAGGTGGAGAGACAAGAAACAGCAGTGGACAAAATCAAATCCAATATTCTATTATGAAGTGGTGGCTATCCATTTTCCATCAAGTGAGGTTTTCTGCAATTTTAATTAGGCAGTTGGCCTGAGTCACAGTGAAACCTTTAAGGTTTTGTGAAGGAGGGGACTGAGTTGTTGATTTTAAATCCAACATCTGGTTCCCTTTTTGATTTTCAGAAATGATGTTTGGTTTCCTGAGAGCAAGATAAATCTTCTTTAGGTTCCTTAAAGTCATGACTGAAGGGAAGTGGAGTGAGGGAAGAGAGAGCAAGTGGGCAGAGATATGTCTAAACAAGTAAGAAAAATGAGTCAAAACTCACGTCTGGTGACTTTTCTTTAATGATGTATAAAGTCAAGACTAATGTGAGTGACTGAAGTACAGCATGTTATCAGTGTCTTCAGGGACTCCAAAAACCTAGAGGAAGAGTCCCCATGATAATTTAGGCAACTAGGTTGAGTTTCAGAGGTGGCTGGCCCTCAAATTTCATCATCCTTCTTTGCTTCCCACTTAAAGTGAGAAAGTGCAAGATTTTCCCCTAGCCAATGGGATCCCAACTATTCTCTCAAGAAAAGTATCCTAGGCTATTAGATAGAAGAGCTTATGATGAAGGTGGGTGCTACCTCCCTGCATTTGTCATTCTTAGGTATTACTCTTTATTTGCTTTATAAACTAAAGACAGTAGAGGATGCATCCAGACATTTTAGAATCTGCAGGTGATAACCACTGAGGCAGGAACTTACCATAGAAGTAGGGGGGTGTGTGGTAGGATGGGGACGAGAGAGACAAGGCAGGGGATCACTTTGAGAGCCTCCAGCTCTGCCTACATGTACCTTAATCACTAGAGCAGACTTGAAGAGCTTTATCAATAACTTAGCAAGGGCACACAGAATAATTAATTTCTTTCCTATAAGGAACTCAGATCTGGTGTCCAAGCTTGCAGAAGGATATTGGTCCAATGAGATGAAGAATAATTTTCTTTTCTTTTGTAACTCTATATTCTCAAAGTCCATAGATGTTTTTGTTCCACTATACTTTTTCCATTTTCCATTACAGAGGTCTCAGATGATAATTTAGGCATCAGTCTCTCAAAGATTCAGATGTGTCAACATATCTACGCAAACAACTATGTAACCTATATATTTTGATGAAATATAAAGTTTATAAATATCTCTGTAATTAAAGTATTTGAAAAAAATTTAAAAAGTAATTTGAAAAAGAAGTAATGAAACATAAACTATGTAGTTTTCTTTTGTTGAGGATAATTCTTATACAGTTTTATACAGAGTAAGTTAGTAATTTTTCCACATGTGATGAAAATATAAAACTGAGAAGGGGGCGTTAAACAACTAGCCGTGGCTTAGACTTGCCTCTAAGATCCCTTCTTACCCTGAGATTCTAGGATGCAAATGACACTGAACAGAAGTCTGCAGAGTGTGGTAGCTCGCTCAGCAGCCCTGACAGTTCACCCGCAGGAAAGCAGATTATAGAATCTTCATGGGAGTTTTTGGCAGCCATTTTTTAAATCAGTCAATCAATAAATATTTTTTTGGGGGCACTTTCTATGGGCAAGACACTGTGCCTGGCCCTATAGAGGATTCAAAGAACAAAGATCCTTTCCTGAGGAAGTTTTCAATATTGTATTTCTTCCAAATTTCTGAGATTTTCTAAAGATATTTTCCCTAGGAAATTTTCTCCTAAAAATTTCTTTAGTATGTGAAGGTAATTTTCTAAATAATTCTGAAAATTCTTCCCTTCTACAACATAATGCAATGCAGTGCTGTGGATTCGGATCTGACTCAAAGCGACCCCTCCTTGGGTTTCCCAGGCAGTATCAATAGGGAAGTAGATTGCTCAACCTTCCTTCCGAGGAGTGGCTGGTGGGTTTGAACCGACAGCCTTCTGGTTAGCAGTCAAATGCTTCAGGTACAAGGAATATCCAGATAATAGTTTAAAATGCCATTAATAAAAACATAACAAAACAAAAAACCAATAAGATATGTTCTAAACAAGGCAATGTAGAAATATCTACTTTATAAAAAAGTTTACACTATTTAATCCATATGCCAAGAAAGTGTGTCTGTGAATAATTCTACCAGGACATGTAAAATAAGTTTTTGTGTTAGCAGTAGTGATTCTATGTCAGTAGAATCATTTATACAGTACTAGTAGCATAGTGCCTAAGGCACTTGACTGCTAACCAGAAGGCTGGCGGTTCAAACCCACCAGCCACTCCTCGGAAGTAAGGTTGGGCAATCCTACTTCTGTAGTGATACTGCCTCAGAAACCCAAGGAGGGGTCACTATGAGTCAGGGCTGACTCGACGGCACATAACAACAAAAGTAAAGAAAACTAACCATTGAACATTTCTTTTATTTGTTTAGGAGAATGCTTCCTAAAATATATTCTCCAGATCCTGCAGATTATGAGTTAGTTACGGGCTGTGACAAGGTCTAGTCTCGTTTTATGAGTTCTTAGTCCCAGAGTTGCATTTTCTCAGCCCTTCATTCCCCACCTTCCTAAACCTTGTCCCCAGACTACTTACTAGTCCTGGGTAAGTAGCCTGTCTTCCCTCCACATTTCTCCTTGAATATATTCTTCTTGTTGAGCTGTGTCTACCTGGTCAAGGCCATAAAAAAATTAAAAACAGAACTAGGACCAGTGTCTACTATTTCTGAAATATATTCTAAAATGATGGTTAACCGACAAAACCAAACTCACTGCCACCGAGGTTATTCTGACTCATAGCGACCCCTGTTGGGTTTCCAAGGCTGTAAATCTTTACAGAAGTGGACTGCCTCATCTTTCTTCCATAGAGCACCTGGTGGGTTCAAACCACCAACCTTCTGGTTAGCAGCCAACTGCCTTAACCACTATACCACCAGAGCTCGTTACAATGATGGTTCACCACTTATCTGTCAGTTTGTCATACTGTGGAGGCTTGTGTGTTTCTACGGGTTAGGAGACTATGCCATGCGTATTTCAAATAGCAGCACGTGGACAGGTTTCACTTCTGAAAAAATGGGCCAGTGAAAACCTTATGAATAGCAGAGAAACACTGGCTGATAAACAATGAAGGTTAGGCTGGACTAAAAAAAAAAAAAAAAAAAATTAAGGTTGAATTTAGAGAATGGATAGAAAAAGAGGGACAGAGTTAAGGCATGTTAAAGTATGAAAATGGTGTAGCTGGAAAAGGAGAAGGATCCTTGGTGGTGAAATGGTTAAGTGCTTAGCTGCTAACCAAACAGCTGGCAGTTCAAACCTACCCAGAAACTCTGTGGGAGAAAGACTGAGCAACTTGCTGCTATTCATATTACAGCCTAGAAAACCCTTTGCAGCTGTTCTACTCTGTCACATGGGGTTAGTGTGAGTTGAAATAGGCTCGATGGCACTTAACGACAAGAGAAAGGATAAATCAAAAAGACAAGAGGAGTCAGAGAAGACAAGGAATGATCGACAAGTGACATATTTGAAAGAACAGAAAGGTGGGAAGAGATAAGGACATATAGAGAAAAGCAGACATAATGAAAACACCAGTGATGGTTAGAGATAATTTAAAGATGGCTAAAGACAGAGGAAGAAAGGGAAGAAAAAATGGAAAGCTAGACATAGAAGGGTAAAGAGAGAAAAAGAAGCAAGGAAGACAAGAAAGGAAATGATAAAGGAAAGGAGAAAGGAGGTGGAAGAAAAAAATGTCAAAAGAGAATATTAATTACGGAAAAACAGCTCCTATAAAGACCAACATAAGAAAAAAAAAAAGTGCAACACTTCATGACTATACTGTATTCACTATACTGATACATGGATTTTCATACATAAAACGGAAAACTCATTTGCCTTTCAGTCTTGCAAAACCAGACAATTTTGCAAATACAGGATTTTGAGAGAAAAATGAAGAATCAGCAAGTAAAGAGAAATTAACCCAGACAAATGGCTTTTGAGTTTTAGGGTAGTAGTGGTCATGGGTTTCCTGCTTTTAAAGTCTGTACTAATTTGTGACGATGCGGGATCCAGTGATTCCCACAGGTCCAAGCTTATCCGCACCACCTGGGCCACTACTCTTAATTGCTGGAATGAGGGAAAACTTAAGGATCACCAGGAGGGTCAGACGCTTAACAGAGTCTTTGGGGAAAAAAGTTTGGGCAACATTGGTATAGAACAGCAATTCTTTTCCTTCCCTAGAGAACGCTTGGCTGGGATAAGCTCTAAGCCTGAAGTAACACACAGTCTTGTACCTGGTCCTGTGGATTGGTTCCTTCTTTAAAGGATTCATATGGAGTGTGTTCACCTGCATTAAGTGTGTTTACATTCACACTCATAAACTGTGCCTCAGTAGGTAACTCAACCAATATGTTAGGATTTTCAGTAGGCATAATTGGATCCCCATCAAACGGGCCTTGCTTTGAATTGCTAGATGAAGTTCCTGTGCCAGAAAAGTGATGCTTTGCTAATTTGGAGCCAAAGCATGGTAAATGTAGGATGCTAGATGGCTTTTGTTGCTGCCTCTCACCCTCGTTTCCTTGAACTTCACTTTGGGTTGCTTTTGGTTTGGGGTCTTCCTCAGGGATACCTGTAACAAGCTGCTCAGGGGTCAGGACAACAGTTCTTTCACTGGGTTGATTGCCTTCAACCATTGGTTCCATAATGTTTTTTCTCCACCCAGATCACTTTTGAGACATGGTGCATTCATTGACTGAAGGAAGCTGGTTTCAGGAAACGACATCATTCCCCTTTGACCCAGTTGATTCTTAATAGAATGTGGTGTGTTCCTCCTTAGAGTGGATACATCATCTCTAAAAGGACTCGTATTTTGGCTTTCCACAGGCAGCCTCTTCTCTGAGCTGTTTCTTTGGCCAGGTCGGATGCTTGTAGGGGAGATTATATGTCTTGCATGCTTAGTATGACTACCTCCTGTATACAGAGGGCTGGTGTCTTGGTTGTCCCCTGGTGCAAGACCAAAGGATGCAGTGTAGTCTTGCAGAGCAAGTGGATTGTCTTTGGGTCCTGTGGAGCCACCAGCACAGCAGGGCCCTCTTTGGCTTTAGGTGAAATACATTTGCTTCTTTTTCATCAGTTGGGTAACTTTGAGGAGTTAAGTCTGGGAAAAGCAAATGTTCTCCCTCTAGTGAATTTAACCTAGTAATTTGCATGCCATCGTTTAAATTCTCACCTTCATGCCATGTTGGAATTTTCTGAAGGCCAGATGGGGAGTTTCCGGAATAGGGCTGGTTCTCTTTATGCTCTGGTGGGCTACCTACAGCTTTGTGTAAATTCTTTGCCTGATCCCAGAAATTTCTGTTAAAATATGGCCCCCTTTCTTTTGGTTCATGAGCTTGAGTCCTGTGGTCCCAGGAGTTCCAAGAAGGAAATGGAATGCTTTCTTCCTGTCCAGCAGTGTTATTAACATAATAGCCCCTACTCTCCACAGGTGGTGGTACAGTAGGAGCTGTATCATATGATGGCAAATTCTCATCTGGGCCCCAGGGGTAAAATTCACCATGTGGAAAATCCTCGCTGGGTTTTGAGGGATTAGCAAAAGAATAGGGAAGATATTCTCTTGGCTGATTCGAGGCATATCGTTGGCTTTCATAGTGCCTAACTGTTGGAGTTCCTTTAAAGCTAGACTCTTCCTCACCCCATCTAACTGGTCCTAGGAAAGATTCATCTCCAGTTGGATGAATTGGGCCCTCTTCATTATAAGGGACTGTCTCTTTCTGGTATGGAGTATTCATGGGATTCAGTGGATTTTCTGGTTGCCTCATGGTACTGGGAGAATCACCTTTCTCATCCCAGGTATGGCTCCTAAGGTATGGTGAGTTTTCCCTGGGATCATAGGGATTATATTCAGAGTAGAAAACACTTCCTCTAGAGCTGTGGGAAGGATGAGGCAAAGGTCCTTCTTGCCTTCTAGGATCTTCCCCAAGGGGTGCAGAGATTTCTTGGTGGTTCCAATGATTTCTTCCGCCAGGAAAATGTTCTCTTGCAGAGGAAGGGATTTCCTCAGGGTATATAGGATAATATATACTGTGCTTTGATTCTGGCTGATTAGTTTCTGATTCATATGGGATTCTTCTTGGTTTTAAAACAAACCCTTTGGGCAAATGTTGGCTTTGGGTTTGTTCATCAGAATTTGGGACTCTCCTGGAATCTCCTCTTGGGTAATGGGAGTTTTCACATTGATCAATGGAATTAAAACTTGGAACTTGAATGTTGCCCTCAGAATGAGGCAGTTTATAATTTAATTTATTAAGTCCATAATCTTGAGATTTTCTCCAGGGGCCAGTTGGATCTCTTGGAGGAACAACTATTCTTTCTTTTTGACCTGGTGGCTTCTTTCTTGGATTTTGGATTTTTTCATTGCGGCCAACCGTAGTACCATGTTTGGTGCCCATTGGGGCAACGTTGGCTCCCACAGGGTGTTTATTTGGCCCTTGAAGCTTTCTTCTGAAATTTGCTGGATTTCCTGCATGAAAGGGAGAATTAACTCTTGAAGTGGAAGGGTAAGCTTTGAGATAAGCTGGATTTCCTGGACGAGCTGCTAGTTTGCCTTCCAAGGTAAAGGAGCTCCACTGAGGACCCCTTTGAACTTGTTGATGTCGGTAAAAAGGCCCATTTTGTCCATGACCCATGGTGGTACCAGTGGGATGCCATTGTCTTCCTGTAGGAAAACCTTGGACTCTAGGAATTGGATAATTTTCATGACTGTTTGGCTGACTTGGTCCCCATGGGATTTGATTTCCTTGTACTCCCTGGTTTGAGATATTAATGGTAGGTGGTGAAATGACCCCATCTTGAACTGTTGGATTACTCCCAGGGTTTGTACCATGACTGTTTCCTGCTGGGGCGGTGTTTCTGCCCTGACGCCCTGCAGGGCTGTGCACATTTGGTCGGGTTGAATTAGTCTCAGGAACAGTTGAATTAGCTGTGGGTTCTGTAGCTGGACTCTCTGCTTTAGGGGGATCTTTTTCTTTGGGTTTTTCAAAATCTTGTTCAAACATCTCATCTGCAAAATAAGGAGGATGACCCCAAATCCATGATATCCAAAATAGCCAAAGTAAGGATTCTGTAGGAAATAGAAGGAAATCAATAATTAACTCTTTGCTTCTCATGATGGTATCTGGAATTTTTTTTAGTGTGATAGGGAAATCCTAACAGCTACATACTTCTTTTACACTACTGTCAATGCTTTCTTTCTTGCAATTGGATGCTTCCTTTGGTTTCCATGGCCGTACTCCCCTCTGATTCTCTCTCTGAGCACTTTTTCAGCCATCTCCTCCAATGCCTGGCACTACATCTGAGGGTTGTTTGTTTGTTTAAAGGTATTGTATCCTCTGTCCTCCTCATTCTTCTTTTACCACTTTATACACCTGCCTTGAGGAATCCACTGCAAGCCCATTCCTTCAATATTAGTATGCACTGCCCTGGAGTCGGATCTGACTCATAGCAACGCCTCCTCGGGTTTCTGAGGCGGTATCACTACCGTAGTAGATTGCCCAACCTTCCTTCCTTCAGGCCTTGGCTGGTGGGTTTGAACCTCCAGCCTTCTCGTTAGCAGTCAAATGCCTTAGCCACTATACCACCAGAGCTATTAGCACATACCAATAACTCAGAAAGGCAAAAATCTGGTTCAGGATACCCTTTCCTGAGGTTGAGGCAAAAGACTGCTCTAGTAAAGATCTTGTAAGTACCTCCAACTGTATGTACCCAGAACTGGATTCATCTTCCCCCAAGCCTCCTTCTCTAGTTCTCTGTACTTAAGCAACATTTACCACTGTCTACCCCACCAGCCACTCCTCGGAAGGAAGGTTGGGCAATCCTACTTCCGTAGTGATACTGCCTCGGAAACCCAAGGAGGGGTCGCTAAGAGTCGGGGCCGACTCGACGGCACATAACAACAACAACAACCCAGTTTCTCAAGCTTCCATGGACAATTGCTGGCCAAGTCCTATAAACCCTAAATTTTCATCTTTGTTCCCTCCTCCTTTATCCTTAGTACTCCTGCACTGTTGCAATAATTTTCTTACTGGTTACTCTCCATGTAGTCTTACTTTTCTCTATCTTGCCTCCACATGGGCTTTTAGAGTAGTGGAGGTTGAAGGTAAGAATTCTGTCACTTTCCTCTTTAATCATGTATTTAATTTATCCTTACCTTATAGGATAAACTCTAAACTCCTTAGCAGAACACACTAATCAGTACAGCATGATGCTAAAGAGTGAGGATATAGACAGACCTCGGTTAAAATCCTTGTTCCACTAATAGTAGTAGTATGACTCTGGGCTTACCTCAGTTTATTCTTTTGTAAAATGGAGATAATAAAATAATGCCTGCTTCATAGTTGTTATGAAGGTCAAATGCAATAACATGTGAAGGCCTTAGCTCAGTGCCTAGTACTTAGTAAGTGCCCAATAAGTGTTATATGTTATGTGATTATCATCATATAAAAAAAACAAAAACCAAACTCACTGCTGTCAAGTGACCCCCTTTTGGTTTCCAAGGCAGTAAATCTTTACAGAAGTAGATTGCCCAGTCTTCCTTCTGTAGAGTGGCTGATGGCTTTGAACCACCAACCTTCTGGTTAGCAGTCAAGTGCCTTAGGCACAATACCACCATATGGGTAGTTTAGTCAACATATAGCCCATGAGTAATACCTCCGACCTCCTTTCCTCCTTGGACTTCATGCATTTGCAAATCACATATGCTTCTAGTTCTCTGAGTACACCACTCTGTGTTTCATGGCTTCTTCATACTGAACTTTCCTCCCACCTACACATTTATTCTTCCTGGCAATGTTGACTCATCCTTCAGGACTCAGCTTGAATGCTTTATTTTCTCTGAAGCTTCCCTGACTTCCATGGACAGAATTAGGTTCTAATCCCCAGTGTCCCCAGCAGTACACTCTTCTGTTATAAGAGTTATTCCATTGGATTTCAATTGTCTACTTTTCTGGGACCTCCTAACTGATTGTAAAGTTTTTAAGTAAAAACATGTTTCTCATCTTTGTCTGAGCTCTGGTAGCAAAGTGCCTAAGGCACTTGACTGCTAACCAGAAGGCTGGCGGTTCAAACCCACCAGCCACTCCTCAGAAAGAAGGTTGGGCAATCTACCTCTGTAGTGATTCTGCCTTGGAAACCCAAGGAGGGGTCGCTATGAGTCGGATCTGACTCAACGACACATAACAACAACATCTTTGTCCAGCACCTAGCACAATGGGAAATGTTTAATAAATGTTTTATTTACCATGAGCTTTGTCAGTCAGTAGGTTTTAGAGAGGAGCTTTGGTGGCATAGGGGTTAAAACATTGGGCTGCTAACCAAAAGGTCAGCAGTTCAAATACACCATCTTCTCTGTAGCAGAAAGATGAAGCAGTCTGCTTCTATAAAGATTACAGCCTTGGAAACCTTATGAGGCTGTTCTACTCTGTCCTATAGGATTGTTATGAGTTGGAATCAGCTGTATGACAGTGGGTTTCAGTGGGTTAGGTTTTTAAGACATTTATGAGGCATTTAAGTCATTTAGGTTTTTTTTTTAATATATAGAAAAAAGAATTTTTATTCTCATTTATAAATGGAGATGAGACATAAGGTGAGAAATCTCCATGATCATGTAGGAAATCGGCAATGTTCCCAGGATGTGGAATATAGACTTCTTAATGCCTTTGCTGGGAGCTCTGATGGCACAGTGCCTAAGGCATTTGACCACTAACCAGAAAGCTGATGGTTCAAACCCACCAGCCACTCCTTGGAAGGAAGGTTGGGCAATCTACTTCTGCCATGTACTGCCTCAGAAACCCAACAAGGGGTCTCTGTGAGTCGGATCCGATGGTAATGAGTTTAATGCCTTTGCTTACTGCCTGAGTCATTCTACTTTAGTTTCTAATGATATGTTTGTGAAAGTTTGGGCTGCCAGTTTCTATGCTGAATACAACTGTCTTAATCATTTTTATTTGGGATTATTTCACCATGCTGTTTTCAAAAGCACCTTATGTCATTACTGACATAGTAGTCTTCAGTGTCATCATTTTAAGACCAAAAATCTCCAGAGCCATTGGATTTCTTCATTGCCACATACCACATATTCATGGAAAAAGGGTAAGTAAGCTCCACAGTGAGGTGCTGTGCCACAATTACAAAAATGAGTTTTTTAACGAAGTACCAGACCCACTGCCATCAACCCAGTTCCAACTCACAAAGACCCTGTAGAACAGGGTAGAACTGCCCCATATGATTTCCAAGCTGTAAATTTTTATGGATGCAGACTGCCTCATCTTTCTTCCACAGAGTAGCTCGTGGGTTCGAATGCACCAACCTTTGGATTAGCAGCCAAATACTTTAACCACTACACCACCAGAGCTCCTTTATACAACATAGTGCTAGGATAATGTAACGTTATGTAGTAAAAGAGCTATTAAGCAGGGAATCAGAAGACAAGTTTCACCTACTACATTTGATAAGCCACTAATTTAGTAGGTAAAACTTGTCTGGGCTTCAGTTTATTTGCACAAGGCAGGTGTTAGATGATCACTAAATTACTAAGATACTCTTATTTCCTTTTCTGTTCACTAATTGCATCACCACTGTCTAGAGTCCAGCATCAACATGGAGCAAAGCTCTTTAGCTTTCTTTGACAAAGAGATTTCCACACATGCAGAATGACATTTCCATACATGTAGAGGAGAAACCAAAACCAAAAACCAAACTCACTGCCATCGGGCCAATTCCGACTCATAGAGACCCCCTTTGGGTTTCCAAAGAAAGGGTATCATATTTTATTTTAGGTTCCTGGCTTGATTTCTTTTACATTTTTTTTTTTTTTTAAAAAAACTTCAGTGCTGCAGCTACAGATTCATATATTGAGTTTTAACTTTCTTATTTGATGGGGATCAAAAAATCAGAGATTGAAGGATTGTAATTCCTAATGGGGAAACATTACTTACCCCTTCTTCTTCATTACTGATTGGTGGGCGTCCATAGCCTGGTGGTACCCTCTGAAAGATGAAAAAACCCAATGAACACAAGGGCAACCAACTTTCTATGCTGCCATTTGTTTGTAAGGCTCAAGGTATCTTAAAATAGCCCAAATCAGGGGTTGAGTGTTAGCAATGTTTATTTTAAGCTTCTGAGTCATTAGCTCCTACTAACTAGCTGCTAATAGCTGTAACATAATCCATCAGTAAATACTGGTAAATACAAAGACCTCAGCTATATCCTAGATTATCCTATTCAAAAGACCCTGTGTGTCAGCATCTTCTAATAATTGTTCCACTTTACCACCTCCAAAAGCCATTTTCCTAAGACAATTTTTTTTTCTCTCTCTACATTTTACTCGTTTTGCTTCTCTAGAGAACCCAGCGGGAGCTCTGGTAGCATAGTGGCTAAGACACTTGCCTGCTAACCAGACGGCTGGCGGTTCAAACCCACCAGCCACTCCTCGGAAGGAAGGTT